TACCGGAGACATCTGTATCTTTGGATACGCACGCATGTATGTCATACTGGAGACATCTGTATCTTTAGATACACACGTATGTCATACCGGAGACATCTGTATCTTTAGATACACACGTATGTCATACCGGAAACATCTGTATCTTTAGATACACATGTATGTCATACTGGAGACATCTGTATCTTTAGATACACACGCATGTCATACTGGAGACATCTGTATCTTTAGATACACACGCATGTCAAACGAGAGATATCTGTATCTTTGGATACACATGTATGTCATACCGGAGACATCTGTATCTTTAGATACACATGTATGTCATACCGGAGACACCTACATCTTTATATACACACATGTATGTCATACCGGAGAAATTTGCATCTTTAGATACACATGTAAGTCATACCGGAGACACCTACATCTTTATATACACATGTATGTCATACCGGAGACACCTACGTCTTTAGATACACATGTACGTCATACCGGTACACCTACATCTTTATATACATACGTATGTCATACCGGAGACACCTAAGTCTTTATATACACATGTAAGTCATACCGGAGAAATTTGCATCTTTAGATACACATGTAAGTCATACCGGAGACACCTACATCTTTATATACACATGTATGTCATACTGGAGACACCTACGTCTTTAGATACACATGTAAGTCATACCGGATACACCTACATCTTTATATACATACGTATGTCATACCGGAGACACCTACGTCTTTAGATACACACGTTTGTCATTAACCTAAGCTGTGACACTTAAACAGTTAAATTTCTCTTTGAAAGTTTTGCTGATTACTTCTATAAGAAGTGTACAAAAAGTTATTAAATATGTAGTTTCAGTTATAATTTAGTTAACGGTCTAAGGAATATTGTGTTGGGACCAAGATTAATGTTCTTGGTGGAAACAGCAATCGTTTTTATAGTTAAAATATTTCAAAATACGGATTACCAAACACATTAATGACATTACTTTTGTTTATTGTTGCTACACAGTGGACTATCTGTACTCCAACACAGGTATGAAACCCGATTTTCGGTGTTATAACCCCTCAATTTTACCACTGAGCCAACAGGGAAGAGGAGGGTAATGATATTATTATCGTAGTGTCAAACAACTAGTAATGATAGCCTGGCTCCTGAAATATGGTGACAAACAACTAGTAATGATAGCCTGGCTCCTGAAATGTGGTGACAAACAACTAGTAATGATAGCCTGGTTCCTGAAATATGGTGACAAACAACTAGTAATGATAGCCTGGTTCCTGAAATATGGTGACAAACAACTAGTAATGATAGCCTGGCACCAGAATTATGGTGACAAACAACTAGTAATGATAGCCTAGTACCAGAAACAAGGTAACAATCAACTGGTAATGATAGCCTAGTACCAGAAACATGGTGACAAACAATTAGTAATGATAGCCTAGTACCAGAAACATGGTGACAAACAATTAGTAATGATAGCCTAGTACCAGAAACATGGTGACAAACAATTAGTAATGATAGTCTAGTACCAGAAACATGGTGACAAAGAATTAGTAATGATAGCCTAGTACCAGAAACATGGTGACAAACAAATAGTATTGGTAGCCTAGTACCCATTACTAGTTGATTGTTATCATGTTTCTGGTACTAGCCTATCATTACTAGTTGTTTGTCACCATGTTTCTGGTACTAGGCTATCATTACTAGTTGTTTGTCACCATGTTTCTGGTACTAGGATATCATTACTAGTTGTTTGTCACCATGTTTCAGGTACTAGGCTATCATTACTAATTGTTTATCACCATGTTTCTGGTACTAGGATATCATTACTAGTTGTTTGTCACCATGTTTCTGGTACTAGGATATCATTACTAGTTGTTTGTCACCATGTTTCAGGTACTAGGCTATCATTACTAATTGTTTGTCACCATGTTTCTGGTACTAGTCTATCATTACTAGGTGTTTGTTACCTTGTTTCTGGTACTAGCCTATCATTACTAGTTGTTTGTCACCATGTTTCTGGTACTAGGCTATCATTACTAATTGTTTGTCACCATGTTTCTGGTACTAGGCTATCATTACTAGTTGATTGTTATCATGTTTTGTTTGTTACCTTGTTTCTGGTACTAGGCTATAACTAGTAATGATAGCCTAGTACCAGAAACATGGTGACAAACAAATAGTAATCATAGCCTAGTACCAGAAACATGGTAACAAACAAATAGTAATCATAGCCTAGAACCAGAAACATAGTGACAAACAACCAGTAATGATAGCCTGGCACCAGTTACATAGCAACAAACAACTAGTAAGGATAGCCTGGCGCCAGAAGCACAGTGGCAAACAACTAGTAAGGATAGCCTGGCACCAGAAACATGGTGGCAAACAACTAGTAATGATAGTCTGGCACCAGAAGCATGGTAGCAGACAACTAGTAAGTAACGCCTGGCACCAGAAACATGGTGACAAACAGCTATTAATGACAGCCTGGTACCAGAAGCATAGTGACAAACAACTAATAGTGATAGCCTGGAACTAAAAACACAGTGACAAACAACTAGTAGTGATAGCCTGGCACCATAAACATAGTGACAAACAACTAGTAGTGATAGCCTGGCACGAGAAACATAGTGATAAACAACTAATAGTGATAGTCTAGTACCATAAACATAGTGACAAACAACTAGTAATGATAGTCTAGTACCATAAACATAGTGACAAACAACTAGTAGTGATAGCCTGGAACTACAAACATAGTGACAAACAACTAGTAGTGATAGCCTGGCACCATAAACATAGTGACAAACATCTAATAGTGATAACCTGGCACCATAAACATAGTGACAAACAACTAGTAAGGATAGCCTTGCACTAGAAAGATAGCAACAAACAACCGGTAATGATAGCCTGGCACAAGCTACATTATGACAAACAACTATTAATGATAGTCTGGCACCAGCTACATAGTGAGAAACAACTAGCAATGATAACCTGGCACCACACACATAGTGACAAAGAACTACTACTTATAGCCTGGTACCAGCAATATAGTGACAAAGAACTACTACTTATAGCCTGGTACCAGCAATATAGTGACAAAGAACTACTACTTATAGCCTGGTTAGTAGTTCTTTGTCACTATATTGCTGGTGTCACTATATTGCTGGTACCAGGCTATAAGAAAGAACTGGTAAGGTTTTAGTATTTCTCCACGAGAACACGTTTCAGTAAAAATGTAAAATCACCAATATTTAGATCACTCAATAAAATCCATGTTTAATGATGAAACTTGTTTATGTTCTTTGATTCTACATGTTTTTTTTCCTTTTCTGAAATCGATATGATTATAAATAACCTAGAATCGTTATTGTGAGTAATTTGGAAATATTGAATCGTAAAGAAAAATTGATAATTGCTCATGACTGGAACGAATTTTATAACTTTCAGCACTAGTTTTGTACAACTATTATTAAGTCTTAAACCTAAATATAAAAAGTTGGATACAATTAAATAGTTCAACAGTGACATTTCTCACTTATCATTTGAAAAATGCGAAATGACGATATATGTTAAACTTAACTAAAATATTAAGTACGTGATAGTAAAGTAAACTAGCATTGGAATCGTAATTAAACGTTTTTTTTTAGGTTTTGTACTGACTGTGTGAAGTTGAAGCTTTGCATGGCTTACATTTATTAATTTTAATAAACCTACTGTATTTGTATTATAAAATACGTTACAAGGGTATTTTTCGTATTCAATATTTGAGTATTTATAGTGAGGATTTTCAAAAAGCATGAAATCTGACCAGGTTATCATATTTTTCCATCAAGAATTGCTATACTACAGTAGATTATCTTATTATTCTATAAAATATTACCTGTCAAAGCTATACTGCAGCAAAAGGTTCTACCAGGGGTTTTAACCCGGGGCTGATAGGTGATAATAAAAAAATTTATATCAGTCTTTTTCTTGATTTGTTCAGTGTAAGATGACTCCTGGGATAAAAAATATTTACAAAGGCATTTCTCAAGGTAAAAAAAATGCACTAAAAAGTTATCCAGTGTCGACTATCTATGACTTTTTCGTCTTTATTAGTCAAATGTTCTTTTCAGAATATGAAATTAAATTAAATATATATATACAACCAACTACTATATAATTGTACAATTAGTTTTTTTGTCACAGGCTAGTTTTGTCAGTAAGGCTATGGACTCTCAATACAACCAACTACTATATAATTGTACAATCAGTTTTTTGTTACGGCTAGTTTTGTCAGTAAGGCTATGGACTCTCAATACAACCAACTACTATATAAATGTACAATTAGTCTTTTGTGTCACGGCTAGTTTTGTCAGTAAGGCTATGGACTCTCAATGCAACCAACTACTATATAATTGTACAATTAGTTTTTTTTTTCACGGCTAGTTTTGTCAGTAAGGCTATGGACTCTCAATGCAACCAACT